GACAAAATACTGCTTGACATTCAGCTACTTGTCAATGAATGATTTCCAATCAGCCATTGCTTTCTTATATGCACTAGTGGCATCTTGATCGTGGATTGTGTCACCAATGACCTCTGTTTGAATAACAGAGAGGAGCGTTGCAACACATTTAGGGTATGTTAAATGCAACGTGTAGTAGTATGCCAATAGCACCAACATCCCTTCTGAGAAATCTTCCTGTGGAAGGGTGGTCACAGGTACATTACCAACAGCCACGATGGTGGTTGATCCATCAAAAAGCAAAACTGGGGAGGAGAGAGGACGCTTCTCCAGATACAGGGTGGGGTCTTCGCCTGACTGGAACAGAAAAAAAASAACAATGCGTAGAGAGTGAGAAGACATAAAAATGTATTGAAAGTGTATGATCATTTTTAAAATGAAACTATCAGGTTGCAACCAATGACTTGAGCACTCTTAAATTTAAATTCACGTTTAAAAACTCACACTCATTATTATCAGATGAATTGCTTTACAATAGTGTAGGGGGGAACATGTTAAACTGATGTAGGAATTTAGGATTGATTAAAGCARAAGTAAGTGATATATTTGTGTTAATATAAGTCTTAAATAGTTATATCTTCCGACAGCAATCACTTACATAGAGTGTTTGGACTGAAACACGGGTCTGTCAGTCCCTCTGCTCTGCTCTGAGCCGAGGAGAAACATTTATCGTATCCTACAGTTTTTATCCAATGAGGAGAGAGAACGGCATGCAGGGCTGTGTGTGCAGCCAAGGGACGCCGTGAATGTGGCGACGTAGGGACGAGGACTGTTATGGTGCGTTCAAGGAAACTCGTATTTTTCCGACCGTGATGTGGTACCAGGTCGATCTGGTACGAGTTCACCGGTCGGAAGTTACGAGTGGCCGTTATAGTGACTTTCACCGGTAAAACAGGTCGGAAAAACACGAGTGGGTTGCCTGAAACGCTACAAAGTCGTAAGTTGTGACTTGAAGCTGTAATTTACGATTTCAAAAGCCTGCCTGGAACACAGCATTAGCGAAAACGACCGGACCACTTACTTCTGCTTTAATACCTGATACAAGCTGATGCAAGGTGCTAATGTTTCATCAGTGAATGAATGAATGTATGAATGAATGAATGAATGAAATAATGAAATAATTAAAGGTTTTGCAAAACATTTTTTGTTATTTCCTTCTGTCAACACCATTTGAGGGACACTAGAGGCACTTCTGTTTTCCCCTTTTGACATAAATTAGGTCATATCTATAACTGTGAACYTAGGTGTATTGTTACTAAATGTGAACAAGCACAATAATGTGAGAAAATAAAGGCACTTCAAAGAGGACAGTAAGGAATCAACACAAACATTTCTCACCTTCAGGATATGAAGAAGTGCCTCACAGCTATTCCCAAGCTTCTTTGGTGGTGAAGTTGGTGAGGGGAAGAGGGATGGGAGTGCATTGAAGAGGGCGAGTGTGAAATCCACTAAAGAATATAAGAATGAACAGAATGGTCTGAATGTTGTACAAATATCAATACATATACATATTGTATGGAACAGCAACTTACCACTGCGGACATCCAAAGGGAAAGGGGGTTTCAGGACTTTCTTCCACACACCGTAGAACTGCACCTTGGCACAGAATTCTGCCCATCTTCCTTTTACTTCCTCAATGTATCTGCTGTTGGTGCCACCTACTATGCGCCGCAGCTCATCCATTGCCTAAAACAGCATTGTGCACAGTTCAACAGTTAACAATGCATTGAAATTCAGTACACAGATGGATACACAGTAACTCAAGTACAACAAACCAACAYACATTTCGAACATCTTTGAAGCATGGATATGCCTCAAAGATTTTTGCAGGTCGRTCCTCTTCCTTTGTAACATCTGCATCAATGAAAGCCCGTCTGGCCTCAAACTCAAGGTCCAAAATTTGAGCAACATCATTTTGATTGGGTTTTGCATTGGGCTTATTGTACATGTTGCTCAATGTTCTGTAGTGCCTAGCCTGCATCTTCAGACTGTCCTGGCCCACTGAAATGACAAAAAACCAAGCCAAGACATTTGAATGTTAACACTTTAACAACAACACAGGGGAAATAAAGCGTGGTTAAA